CAAACTCTGCGACATCAGATAGTAGCCAGCCGAGGAGCGCTCGTCCCAATCTTCCTGAAGGGCGGGGTCACTCGGTCTAGGCTCCTCCCCAATCATTAGTTTCAGCAAACCAATCTGACGGAAATACAATTGCATTTTCCAGGCCCAGTCATCATAGCCCTCACCATTGAACTTCTCGACGGTGAAATTCTTCAGCACCTCCTTGATCAGCGAGCTCTGGTTGGTTCGCGCTCCCCTTGGCGCTGAAAGACCAGAATCTTGGCTGCCGCTACGATCTTGGGCTGAAGATTCACCAGCTCCCGCCGAGGTGTTGCCCGCCATAGCTACCTATAACGAGGATCACTATAACGCAGCTCTGATACCAGCTTGTTGGTGTAAGGGCCTAATAAACTCAAGCTATTAGGACTTAATCAAACTTAAAACCTCTCCTCGGGGTCACCTCCTAATAAACTCAAGCTATTAGCAACTTTCTGCTCCTGGCCAATCTCCTCTAACAGCCTCCTCAGCCAAATCACCTCCTTCACCCCATGGAACATCGCCATGTACTCTGATTCTACGGAAGAGAGTGCCGTCTCCGTCTGCTTCTTGGACCTCCAACTAACAGGTCCTCCCCCAACTACGCAGATGTATCCTCCCACAGATGAGGAATCCTCCTTCTCAGAAGCCCACGTAGCATCGGTAAAGCAAGTGAGAAATAGCTTGCCTTCTCCAAGCCTCTCCCCCTTCTCTTTCAGCACCTCCACCCCTTTCTGCTTCACCTGTGCAGATGCGGAGTATTGAACTCCAATGCTTGGGTGAGAGTTCAGGTACTTCACCACACGCTCAGCTGCATCCACCTGCTCCTCTGATGGATTCTGCACCACCCTAGCCAGCTGCCCAACCGAGAAAGAGATGTCGGGCCTCGTGTGAACTGCTGCGTACAAGAGGCTGCCCACCAAGGACTGAAATTGCTGCTGCTCTTCAGCTTCAACCCCTTCATCCTCTGCAGCCTTCACAAGCTTGAATTCTGCTGGCAGGGGAGTTGCAACCTTGCGCTCATTCTCAATCCCATACTTCTCCCCCAGCTCCTTGATGAACTTCTCCTGGTGCAGCTTCAACCACCTGTGATCTGGATCCCTCTCCACGTGCATCCCGAGGTAGTACTTTACCTCCCCAAGGTTCTTGCACTTGAAGTTTTCCATCAGTTGCTGCTGCACTTTCTGGATCTCCTTCATGCTGCTGCTGAAGAGAAGAATGTCGTCCACATAGACCAGAAACAGCACCAGCTTCTCCCCCTCGCCCTTGAGAAAGAGGCTCTCATCACAGCTGCTGGTCCTGAATCCCATTTCCTCTAAAACAGCTGCCAACTTCTGGTACCAGCAGCGTGGCGCCTGCTTCAAGCCGTAGATGGACTTGTTGAGCTTGCACACCCTGCCCGTACCATCCTCATACCCAGGCGGCTGCGTCATGTACACATCCTCCTCTAAAATCCCATTCAGGAATGCCGTTGAAATATCCATCTGAATGATGAATTTCCCACTAACAGCTGCATCTGCCAACAAGACACGGAGGGTAGGGGGTTTGGCAGTGGGAGCAAAGATCTCGTTGAAGTCCTGCTTCTCCTTCTGCATAAACCCCTTCGCCACCAGCCTACTCTTGTAGATGGTGACCTGCCCCTTGTCATCGGTCTTGATCCTCAGCACCCACTTGCATTGTATCGCTTTCTTTCCATCAGGCAGCACCACCAGATCCCATGTCCTATTCTCCAGCAGACTCTGGTACTCAGCATCCCTAGAAGCCAGCCACTTGTCCCTATCTGGTCCAGCTAATGCCTCCTTCAAGCTAGCTGGTTCCTCTGGTGCAGGGGCAAGAAAACAGTACGCAGGCTCGTCCTCCTCATCCGGGTCATAGCCATGAGGTAGAATCAGCAATGCCTCTTCGGTCCCTAGCTGCTGCTCTGCTGCATCAGTTCCTGCAGTCAGCTTCTTAGTAGCCATACGGGTACGTCCTGGCCTGGAGACGGGTGTCTCCCATCCCTTCATAACGACACCCTTCGGCTTCTTAGTTTTTCCCTGCTGCTTCTCTCCTCCCTCGGGTCCAGCAGCTCCACTAGTGCTGCCGCCAGTTTCCACACCATTTTCTCCACCAGCAGATGCCTCCTGTACCTTCTCTCCATCACCATTTCCAGCAGCTGCCTCCTCTCCCTCCTCCCACACACTAGGAGTCAGGTCCAGCTGCATGGTGATCTGCTCCATCTGCTGGGACATCCTTGCCTCCGGCTGTTTCTCCCAGCTCCCATACATCATGCCCTCAATGAATTTCACATCCCTGCTGTCAAACAACACACCCTTGGATGGTTCCCACAGCAGCCATCCCTTGCTCTCAGCAGCCAGCCCCAAATGCACACACCAGATTGCACTCGCCCCCAACTTACTGCGGTAGGTCTTGGGGACGTGGGCGACTGCCATGCAACCGAACACCCTCAGCATGTCCACCGGCGGCTTCCTCCCAAGCCACCTCTCCAACGGCACCCACGAGTCATCCCCAACCTTGGTGAGCACCCTGTTCCTAGCGACAGTGGCGTGCCGGACAGCATGAGGCCACATAGAATTGCTCAGCCCAGATTCTATGAGCAGCGCCCTAGCTGTCTCCAGAATGGTCCGGTTTGCCCGTTCTGCTACACCATTGGACTGTGGGGTATAAGCCGTGGTCAGCTCTCTCTGGATGCCCTGCTTCTTGAGCCAGGCCGTCATTTCAGCTCCAAGGAACTCACCACCCCGGTCTGTCCTAATCCGCTTCACTACACACTCCGCCTGCTTCTCCACGAATGGCAGCCAATCGTCCCGTATCGTGGAGGCGGCGTGGTCGTTCTGCTTCAGCGGATACGCCCAGCATTTAGCTGGTTGGGCAAAGACAAAACAGGTTCTGTTTTTAGAACCTGAACCTGGTTGTTGTTTTCCCAGATTGGAAAAACAGAACCAGAGGTTGTTTACCGACCTATCAGCTGCTATTTTGTCCAGCTAGGTTGGTTCTGTTGCTTGGATTTTTTCGGGATCATCAGTGGTTGTTCCCAGGTTGATTCACAAGGTCCTTGCAAGCTAGAACTATTAGTTCCTTCTCTGTTTGTACCTGGATATAGTCAATCAATTTAAGCGAATTCCTTCCTTGCTGGAATTTCGTTTCTACGCGGTTCGACGGCAGAATGCTACCCGAGTCAACGCTAGTACGCTAGCACTGCAACGCTAGGCAAACACTATCCGAGCCATGATTTTGTAATGGCAGAAATTTTCGCGAGGCAACTTGGCTTGGTCAAAGGCACTTGGAGCGAGCTTCGATATAGTGAATTCTCAGCTTAATCCGATCAACGGTCTGCACTGCACACAGCGTGATGAACGTTCAAGATACTCTTGTTATTTTGGCTAAGTCTTTCTTGACTCCTCTCTCTACAAACTCGGACCCGAGGATAGGGGCTGGTCTTGTACCAGGCACCTAGGGACCCTTGGAAGTAACCCCGAGGAGAGTTTTTAAGTTTGATATAATCTTAATAGCTTGAGTCGATCTGGCCCTTACACCAACAAGCTGGTATCAGAGCTGGTGATCCTCGTTATAGGTAGCTATGGCGGGCAACACCTCGGCGGAAGCTGGTGAATCTTCAGCCCAGCAAGCTGGTCGTAGCGGCAGCCAAGATTCTGGTGTTTTGGCGCCAAGGGGAGCGCGAACAAACCAGGGCTCGCTGATCAGAGAGGTGCTGAAAAACTTCACCGTCGAGAAGTTCAATGATGAGGGCTATGATGATTGGGCCTGGAAAATGCAACTCTACTTCCGTCAGATTGGATTGCTGAAACTAATGATTGGAGAGGAGCCTAGACCGAGTGACCCTGCCCTGCAGGAAGTGTTGGTGTAAGGGCCTAATAAACTCAAGCTATTAGGACTTAATCAAACTTCAAACCTCTCCTCGGGGTCACCTCCAAGGGTCCCTGGGTGCCTGGTACAAGACCAGCCCCTATCCTCGGGTCCGAGTTTGTAGAGAGAGGGATCAAGAAGGACTTAGTCAAAACAGCAAGAGTACCTTGAACGTCGCGCAGCGTGCCGTGCAGACCGTCGATTGGATTAAGCTGAGAATTCGCTATATCGAAGCTCGCTCCAAGAGCTTTAAAATGAGCCAAGTTGCCTCGCGAAAAGTTCTGCCATTACGAAGTTATGGCTCGGACGGTGTTTGCCTAGCATTAGAGTGCTAGTGTACTAGCGTTGACTCGGGTAGCATTCCGCCAACGAACCGCGTAGAAACGAAATTCCAGCGAGGAAGGAATTCGCATGAATCAATTTGACTAAGGTACAAACAGAGAAGGAATAAATAGTTCTAGCTAGCAAGGACCTTGGGAATCAACCTGGGAACAACCACGGATGATCCCAAATAATTCCAAGAAACAGAACCAACCTGGCTGGACAAAATAGCAGGTGGTAGGTTGGTAAACAACCTCTGGTTCTGTTTTTCCAACCTGGGAAAACAACAACCAGTTTCAGGTTCTAAAAACAGAACCTGTTTTGTCTTTGCCCAACCAGCCAAATGCTGGTTCCGCTGGTTTCCCCTGGCCCTGTAGCATGCAGATACAGACAAACAACATCCAACCTTCACCTAAATTGTACCCCTATAGTGCCTGCCCTGCTACTATAGTCAACCAAACAATACAGTACAATTTCAAGTTGGATAGAACTGAATCTGCGCAATCAATTAAACCGAACTGCAAAGCTTCCATCTTGGGTTCCTTGGAGAGCTCGTCCTTTCTGCTTGCACTGTTCATAGCGCGTACAATGTTGTGCCGAAGCGCACATTGCGCGAGTACCTGCAAATGCTTCAAGCGAAAATTGCGAAAGCAAATAAACACACGAACACACCATTCACACGCAAATGCATTTGCACACGCATACTCGTACAAACAGACGGCAGGATGTCGTGCAATGTGAATTTGCACCCAACACACTCCCCCTCAGCCTGCCGGCTGCATCCCCATGATTCCATGCTAGTTCATGCTCATTCCACTCATGCGCACACAACGCCAATGAGGCTCATCCGCAAGCCTCTTGGTGAGAAAGTCTGCTGGCTGCTGGTGAGTCTTGATGTAGATCGGATTCACCGTCCCCCTCTTCACCTCCTTACGCAGCCAGTGCCACTTGATACGCATGTGCTTGTTCAGCCCATGAAGCACAGCGTTTCTGGCCATCCCAAGAGCCCCCTTGCTATCACAAAACAGTGGCGTAGCAACTTTCTGCTCCTGGCCAATCTCCTCTAACAGCCTCCTCAGCCAAATCACCTCCTTCACCCCATGGAACATCGCCATGTACTCTGATTCTACGGAAGAGAGTGCCGTCTCCGTCTGCTTCTTGGACCTCCAACTAACAGGTCCTCCCCCAACTACGCAGATGTATCCTCCCACAGATGAGGAATCCTCCTTCTCAGAAGCCCACGTAGCATCGGTAAAGCAAGTGAGAAATAGCTTGCCTTCTCCAAGCCTCTCCCCCTTCTCTTTCAGCACCTCCACCCCTTTCTGCTTCACCTGTGCAGATGCGGAGTATTGAACTCCAATGCTTGGGTGAGAGTTCAGGTACTTCACCACACGCTCAGCTGCATCCACCTGCTCCTCTGATGGATTCTGCACCACCCTAGCCAGCTGCCCAACCGAGAAAGAGATGTCGGGCCTCGTGTGAAGTGCTGTGTACAAGAGGCTGCCCACCAAGGATTGAAATTGCTGCTGCTCCTCGGCTTCAACCCCTTCATCCTCTGCAGCCTTCACAAGCTTGAATTCTGCTGGCAGGGGAGTTGCAACCTTGCGCTCATTCTCAATCCCATACTTCTCCCCCAGCTCCTTGATGAATTTCTCCTGGTGCAGCTTCAACCACCTGTGATCAGGATCCCTCTCCACGTGCATCCCGAGGTAGTACTTTACCTCCCCAAGGTTCTTGCACTTGAAGTTTTCCATCAGTTGCTGCTGCACTTTCTGGATCTCCTTCATGCTGCTGCTGAAGAGAAGAATGTCGTCCACGTAGACCAGAAACAGCACCAGCTTCTCCCCCTCGCCCTTAAGAAAGAGGCTCTCATCACAGCTGCTGGTCCTGAATCCCATCTCCTCTAAAACAGCTGCCAACTTCTGGTACCAGCAGCGTGGTGCCTGCTTCAAGCCGTAGATGTTCTTTTTGAGCTTGCACACCCTGCCTGTACCATCCTCATACCCAGGCGGTTGCGTCATGTACACATCCTCCTCTAAAATCCCATTCAGGAATGCCGTTGAAATATCCATCTGAATGATGAATTTCCCACTAACGGCTGCATCTGCCAACAAGACACGGAGGGTAGGGGGTTTGGCAGTGGGAGCAAAGATCTCGTTGAAGTCCTGCTTCTCCTTCTGCATAAACCCCTTCGCCACCAGCCTACTCTTGTAGATGGTGACCTGCCCCTTGTCATCGGTCTTGATCCTCAGCACCCACTTGCATTGTATCGCTTTCTTCCCATCAGGCAGCACCACCAGATCCCATGTGCCATTTTCTAGCAGGCTCTGGTACTCAGCATCCCTAGAAGCCAGCCACTTGTCCCTATCTGGTCCAGCTAGTGCCTCCTCCATGCTAGCTGGTTCCTGTGGTGCAGGGGCAAGAAAACAGTACGCAGGCTCATCCTCCTCATCCGGGTCATAGCCATGCGGTAGAATCAGCAATGCCTCTTCGGTCCCTAGCTGCTGCTCTGCTGCATCAGTTCCTGCAGTCAGCTTCTTAGTAGCCATACGGGTACGTCCTGGCCTGGAGACGGGTGTCTCCCATCCCTTCATAACGACACCCTTCGGCTTCTTAGTTTTCCCCTGCTGCTGCTCTCCTCCCTCGGATCCAGCAGCTTCACTAGTGCTGCCGCCAGTTTCCACACCATTTTCTCCACCAGCAAATGCCTCTGTACCTTCTCTCCATCACCATTTCCAGCAGCTGCCTCCTCTCCCTCCTCCCACACACTAGGAGTCAGGTCCAGCTGCATGGTGATATGCTCCATCTGCTGGGACACCCGGGCCTCCGGCTGTTTCTCCCAGGTCCCATACATCATGCCCTCAATGAATTTCACATCCCTGCTGTCAAACAACATACCCTTGGATGGTTCCCACAGCAGCCATCCCTTGCTCTCAGCAGCCAGCCCCAAATGCACACACCAGATTGCACTCGCCCCCAACTTACTGCGGTAGGTCTTGGGGACGTGGGCGACTGCCATGCAACCAAACACCCTCAGCATGTCCACCGGCGGCTTCCTCCCAAGCCACCTCTCCAACGGCACCCACGAGTCATCCCCAACCTTGGTGAGCACCCTGTTCCTAGCGACGGTAGCGTGCCGGACAGCATGAGGCCACATCGAATTGCTCAGCCCAGATTCTATGAGCAGAGCCCTAGCTGTCTCCAGAATGGTCCGGTTTGCCCGTTCTGCTACACCGTTGGACTGTGGGGTGTAAGCCGTGGTCAGCTCTCTCTGGATGCCCTGCTTCTTGAGCCAGGCCGTCATTTCAGCTCCAAGGAACTCACCACCCCGGTCTGTCCTAATCCGCTTCACTACACACTCCGCTTGCTTCTCCACGAATGGCAGCCAATCGTCCCGTATCGTGGAGGCGGCGTGGTCCTTCTGCTTCAGCGGATACGCCCACATCAGCCTGCTCCAGTCATCCACAATTGTAAGAAAATACCGCTCCCCCTTGTGCCCTTGCACCGGCAGCGGCCCCACCAAGTCCATGTGGACCAGCTCCAAAGGCTTCTTGCTCCTGCCAGCCACACTATGGAAAGGGAAACGGGTGAACTTTGAAAGCAAACAGATTTCACAGTTGTCATCGGGTGGCTGTCCGTTCAGCTTTAGACCCTTAACGGCTCCATCCTTCTCCAGCTGCTTCAGCAAAGGCATTGCCACATGCCCTAAGCGCCGGTGTGCCGTTGCCCAATCTGTCTCCCCAGATCTCGCCGACACTTTCACACACAACCCCCTCCAACGGCATTGCACTCCCCCTGGGATGCAGACCCCTCTCCAGCCTGCCCCCCACCATGCCACGCCAGGGCCGGCAGCTGCCACATAGATCTGTACACGTCCTTGCTCTCGTGCAGATCCCAAAGCACCCGATTGCCCAGCTTCCCCTTATAAGTGCGTGCCCCATCCGTGTTGGTGTTCACCCCAGCCTTGCCAAGCTTACGGAGGGAGATAAGGTTGGCCTTCAGGTCGGGGACGAGGAGAACGTTGTGCAGCACCACCGGCTTGCCATCCGCTCCCTTAAACGCAGCTCGTCCCGCACCAGCCACCTTCAGCGCGTGTCCAGAGGCGGAGCACACTTCATTGATCGGTGCAGCTCGTACTTCGTCCAGCAGGTCCTTGCGCGGCGTCATCGTCCAAGCAGCGCCTGTGTCCAACACCCAATAGTCTAGGGGGTGCAGCTCTGCTCCAACTTTGGCAGAGGCGTCTCCTTGCTCCCCCTTGTCTCCCACATGGAAGAATTGGCCCGCGGTGCGCTCCTTCTTCTTCTCCGCACCGCCGTTGCCCTTCGGGTTGTTGTCGGACGAATCAGCGACCATGTTGGCGCCGTTTTTCTGGTTCCTCCGCGCGCCGCCATCCTGGTGACGATTCTGGGGGGTCCATCCATCGGGTTTCTTATAGCACAAAAACCAGGGGTGCCCTTCCTTCTCACAATACCAGCAACTCCCTTTCATTTTGCCACCAGCACCCGACTTGCCCCCACGTCCAGATTTCGCCCGCGACCCCCCAACCGGTACCTCCTTGTTGGTCGTTGGAGTCGTCGTCTTTCTTTGCACCGCGTCCAGCACCACCGAAGCCACGTCCTCTGCCACGTCGGCTCCCTTGCATCCCGTAGCCGCTGCTGCCGTCGTCTCCACCCCTCAGTTGGCGGCGACGGAAGTCCTCCTCCAGAATCTTCGTCCGCACCCACTCGAGCGTCCACAAGCTCTGGTTCTGCGGCAGGCTCAATCCGCTCGTAAATTGAAGCCACGATTCTGGCAGCAGCGAGAGCATCTTCAAGCACTTGGTCTGCTCCGGGTAGGTGATTCCCGCGGTCGCCAACTTCGCGTAGAGGTCGCGCATCTTGTCCAGGACTGGTTGCACACCGGCTCTCTCCCTCGCTCAAGCGCAACGCGGACAGCTCCCTCTCCAGCATCAACGTTGCGACAACGGAGGTCGGGGCGTGCAGCTCCTTCAACACGGTCCACGCCTTCGGACCGCATTCAACCTCCGGCAGCAGGTGCATGACGTGGTGACGCTGGTTCAGCTCCAAACTCTGCGACATCAAATAGTAGCCAGCCGAGGAGCGCTCGTCCAATCTATCTTCCTGCAGCGTGGGGTCACTCGGTCTAGGCTCCTTCCCAATCATTAGTTTCAGCAAACCGATCTGACGGAAATATAATTGCATTTTCCAGGCCCAATCATCATAGCCCTCACCATTGAACTTCTCGACGGTGAAATTCTTCAGCACCTCCTTGACAAGCGAGCCCTGGTTTGTTCGCGCTCCCCTTGGCGCTGAAAGACCAGAATCTTGGCTGCCGCTACGATCTTGGGCTGAAGATTCACCAGCTCCCGCCGAGGTGTTGCCCGCCATAGCTACCTATAACGAGGATCACTATAACGCAGCTCTGATACCAGCTTGTTGGTGTAAGGGCCTAATAAACTCAAGCTATTAGGACTTAATCAAACTTAAAACCTCTCCTCGGGGTCACCTCCAAGGGTCCCTGGGTGCCTGGTACAAGACCAGCCCCTATCCTCGGGTCCGAGTTTGTAGAGAGAGGGATCAAGAAGGACTTAGTCAAAACAGCAAGAGTACCTTGAACGTCGCGCAGCGTGCCGTGCAGACCGTCGATCGGATTAAGCTGAGAATTCGCTATATCGAAGCTCGCTCCAAGAGCTTTAAAATGAGCCAAGTTGCCTCGCGAAAAGTTCTGCCATTACGAAGTTATGGCTCGGACAGCGTTTGCCTAGCGTTGGAGTGCTAGCATACTAGCGTTGACTCGGGTAGCATTCCGCCGTCGAATAGCGCAGAAACGAAATTCCAGCGAGGAAGGAATTCGCTTGAATCAATTTGACTATATTCAGGTACAAACAGAGAAAGATTAAATAGTTCTAGCTAGCAAGGACCTTGGGAATCAACCTGGGAACAACCAGGGATGATCCCAAATAATTCCAAGCAACAGAACCAACCTGGCTGGACAAAATAGCAGGTGGTAGGTTGGTAAACAACCTCTGGTTCTGTTTTTCCAACCTAGGAAAACAACAACCAGGTTCAGGTTCTAAAAACAGAACCTGTTTTGTCTTTGCCCAACCAGCCAAATGCTGGTTCCGCTGGTTTCCCCTGGCCTTGTAGCATGCAGATACAGACAAACAACATCCAACCTTCACCTAAATTGTACCCCTATAGTGCCTTCCCTGCTACACTATAGTTAACCAAACAAAACAGTACAATTCCGAGTTGGATAGAACTGAATCTGCGCAATCAACTCAACCGAACTGCAAAGCTTCCATCTTGGGTTCCTTTGCGAGCTCGTCCTTTCTGCTTGCACTGTTCATAGCGCGTACAATGTTGTGCCGAAGCGCACATTGCGCGAGTACCTGCAAATGCATCAAGCGAAAAATGCGAAAGCAAACAAACACACGAACATACGATTCACACCCAAATGCATCGCACACGCATACTCGTACAAACAGACGGCAGGATGTCGTGCAATGTAAATTTGCACCCAACACACTCCCCCTCAGCCTGCCGGCTGCATCCCCATCATTCCATGCTAGTTCATGCTCATTCCACTCATGCGCACACAACGCCAATGAGGCTCATCCGCAAGCCTCTTGGTGAGAAAGTCTGCTGGCTGCTGGTGAGTCTTGATGTAGATCGGATGCACCGTCCCCCTCTTCACCTCCTTACGCAGCCAGTGCCACTTGATACGCATGTGCTTGTTCAGCCCATGAAGCACAGCGTTTCTGGCCATCCCAAGAGCCCCCTTGCTATCACAAAATAGCGGCGTAGCAACTTTCTGCTCCTGGCCAATCTCCTCTAACAGCCTCCTCAGCCAAATCACCTCCTTCACCCCATGGAACATCGCCATGTACTCTGATTCTACGGAAGAGAGTGCCGTCTCCGTCTGCTTCTTGGACCTCCAACTAACAGGTCCTCCCCCAACTACGCAGATGTATCCTCCCACAGATGAGGAATCCTCCTTCTCAGAAGCCCATGTAGCATCGGTAAAGCAAGTGAGAAATAGCTTGCCTTCTCCAAGCCTCTCCCCCTTCTCTTTCAGCACCTCCACCCCTTTCTGCTTCACCTGTGCAGATGCGGAGTATTGAACTCCAATGCTTGGGTGAGAGTTCAGGTACTTCACCACACGCTCAGCTGCATCCACCTGCTCCTCTGATGGATTCTGCACCACCCTAGCCAGCTGCCCAACCGAGAAAGAGATGTCGGGCCTCGTGTGAACTGCTGCGTACAAGAGGCTGCCCACCAAGGACTGAAATTGCTGCTGCTCTTCAGCTTCAACCCCTTCATCCTCTGCAGCCTTCACAAGCTTGAATTCTGCTGGCAGGGGAGTTGCAACCTTGCGCTCATTCTCAATCCCATACTTCTCCCCCAGCTCCTTGATGAACTTCTCCTGGTGCAGCTTCAACCACCTGTGATCTGGATCCCTCTCCACGTGCATCCCGAGGTAGTACTTTACCTCCCCAAGGTTCTTGCACTTGAAGTTTTCCATCAGTTGCTGCTGCACTTTCTGGATCTCCTTCATGCTGCTGCTGAAGAGAAGAATGTCGTCCACATAGACCAGAAACAGCACCAGCTTCTCCCCCCGCCCTTGAGAAAGAGGGCTCATCACAGCTGCTGGTCCTGAATTCCATCTCCTCTAAAACAGCTGCCAACTTCTGGTACCAACAGCGTGGCGCCTGCTTCAAGCCGTAGATGGACTTGTTGAGCTTGCACACCCTGCCCGTACCATCCTCATACCCAGGCGGCTGCGTCATGTACACATCCTCCTCTAAAATCCCATTCAGGAATGCCGTTGAAATATCCATCTGAATGATGAATTTCCCACTAACAGCTGCATCTGCCAACAAGACACGGAAGGTAGGGGGTTTGGCAGTGGGAGCAAAGATCTCGTTGAAGTCCTGCTTCTCCTTCTGCATAAACCCCTTCGCCACCAGCCTACTCTTGTAGATGGTGACCTGCCCCTTGTCATCGGTCTTGATCCTCAGCACCCACTTGCATTGTATCGCTTTCTTTCCATCAGGCAGCACCACCAGATCCCATGTCCTATTCTCCAGCAGACTCTGGTACTCAGCATCCCTAGAAGCCAGCCACTTGTCCCTATCTGGTCCAGCTAATGCCTCTCCTCAAGCTAGCTGGTTCCTCTGGTGCAGGGGCAAGAAAACAGTACGCAGGCTCGTCCTCCTCATCCGGGTCATAGCCATGCGGTAGAATCAGCAATGCCTCTTCAGTCCCTAGCTGCTGCTCTGCTGCATCAGTTCCTGCAGTCAGCTTCTTAGTAGCCATACGGGTACGTCCTGGCCTGGAGACGGGTGTCTCCCATCCCCTCATAACGACACCCTTCGGCTTCTTAGTTTTCCCCTGCTGCTGTTCTCCTCCTTTGGATCAGCAGCTTCACTAGTGCTGCCGCCACTTTCCACACCATTTTCTCCACCAGCAGGTGCCTCCTGTACCTTCTCTCCATCACCATTTCCAGCAGCTGCCTCCTCTCCCTCCTCCCACACACTAGGAGTCAGGTCCAGCTGCATGGTGATCTGCTCCATCTGCTGGACAAAACCCTTGCCTCCGGCTGTTTCTCCCAGCTCCCATACATCATGCCCTCAATGAATTTCACATCCCTGCTGTCACAACAAACACACCCTTGGATGGTTCCCACAGCAGCCATCCCTTGCTCTCAGCAGCCAGCCCCAAATGCACACACCAGATTGCACTCGCCCCCAACTTACTGTGGTAGGTCTTGGGGACGTGGGCGACTGCCATGCAACCGAACACCCTCAGCATGTCCATCGGCGGCTTCCTCCCAAGCCACCTCTCCAAAGGCACCCACGAGTCATCCCCAACCTTGGTGAGCACCCTGTTCCTAGCGACGGTGGCGTGCCGGACAGCATGAGGCCACATAGAATTGCTCAGCCCAGATTCTATGAGCAGCGCCCTAGCTGTCTCCAGAATGGTCCAGTTTGCCCGTTCTGCTACACCATTTGATTGTGGGGTATAAGCCGTGGTCAGCTCTCTCTGGATGCCCTGCTTCTTGAGCCAGGCCGTCATTTCAGCTCCAAGGAACTCACCACCCCGTCTGTCCTAATCCCTTCACTATACAACTCGCCGTGCTTCTCCACGAATGGCAGCCAATCGTCCCGTATCGTGGAGGCGGCGTGGTCCTTCTGCTTCAGCGGATACGCCCACATCAGCCTGCTCCAGTCATCCACAATTGTAAGAAAATACCGCTCCCCCTTGTGCCCTTGCACCGGCAGCGGCCCCACCAAGTCCATGTGGACCAGCTCCAA